TGCCCCCTCTGGCCTGTTCTCGTCCTTTAGGCCTCTGCTTTTGCTCCTGACGCCCCAGATGGGTGGGACCCCGGGTTCTACTCTTAGTTTTCCTTTCACGAGGTATCACAAGCTGTACTGGAGATTTCTCTCTGCCCTGGAGCCTGGGAGGGTTTCCGGGAAGGCATCTCTGTCCTCAGCAGGTCCCAGTGTCTAGAGGGCTTCTGCACGTAGTGGGCACAAGATAAATATGCTAAGGGAATAAATAATTAAACCAGTGAATAAATGCCAGACAAATGGTCTGAGATGAGGGTGGGTGGAGAGGTGCAGGGCAGGAGGGGCCTGGGGAGGCCTGGAGCTGGAGTCTCTGTGCCTGGGAGGCGGGAGGAGGGTCCACCAGGCAGGGTGCAGCTGCCTGGACCGTTAGTGGCAAGGGCCTGAGCCCAGTGCGAGCAGGGAGGAGGGAGGCCTGTGCTAGAGGAGGACCTCTGCGCCCCCAGGTCCTGGCCTCTGAGCAATTCAGGGCCCCTCCCCATGGAGGGAGCTAGCCTGCTCATGTCGGAATCTCCAGTGGCCTGGCTCTGGTGACCCCCGGTATCTCGCCAGGCGAGGGCAGAGTTCTAGAAACAGAGGTTCCAAGATGTCCCTGGTGCTTCTACACTGGAGGAGGGAGCTGCAGTCCCTGGTGAGCTGCCTGTCCAGGGAGCCTGGAGGGGCTCCTATTTCCAGCTAGGACCCTCCTGAACGGCCCTCTTCTGGGGGTACTTTTCAGCACTCCCCGGGGGCTGAGACTGCGGCCATATTGCGTGTGGCCTCGTCATCTGTACTCCGGTGTCCCCGTAGACCAGGAATGCCCCCAGGCCGCCTCGGCACCCAGGACAGCACCCTGCTCAGTTAGCACAGAAGGGCCTTGTGGGTTAGGGCTCTGTCCACAAGGCTCGCCCCTCCAGTTGACTGCACCCCTTCCTGAGCCAAGCCTTTCACTGGCTGTGCCATCTCCAAACTGGACCCCACAGTGACTTGGGGGAGGGCCCATACACACGAGGCACCCTCAGCTCACCCTCAGCGTGGGTAAGCTGGCTATGACCTGCAGGGCACCAGGTGGGAGAGTCCCTGGGGTGCGTGTGGAAGGTTCTGGAGAGCTAGGGGGATTTATTCTCCGGGGCTGAAAGGGTTAGGGCTTCTTTAAGTGGGCTGAGGCACTCAAAGTCCCTGGGACAGAATCACTTCCTGATCACGCACCCCGCTTCCTGGTTACCCTGAATCCTCCGAGATAAGACAGAGGCCTGCACCACATCAAGGCAGCAGTGCTCACTCCCCAGCGTCTGGAGGGTCTGGCCCAGGGCGGGCGGGAACAGAATGGGGCACTTCGCGAATGGGCGTAAAGTGGTTTCTAAAGCATCGGGCACAGCTGAACGTGCCTTCTACAGTCACTGATCTGTGTGATCCTCAGTGTTCTTGTCGTTTTCAGGTGAGGAAACAGTTCAGAGAGGTTCAGGAACTCACCCCAGGTCACACAGCTAGAAGAGGGGGAGCCAGGGTTCACCCTCACCCCTGTGCCGTGCAGGTCACTGCAGGAGCACACCTGGGGCCTGTGGCCCTGCCTCCCTGCCTGCCCTTCTCAGGGGTCCGGGGCTAAGCCGCAGGCGGGGGTCCCGCCCCTGAGCCGAGACGCCCACTCCACCCGCCCCGTGGCCTGAACACCGCCCTCACACGAGTTAACTGCGGCCGCGTGGGCAGGTGCGGCGCACCTGCGTGCACATCTGGACGGGGCGGGGTGGGTGGCGGCAGTCGGGCTTGGGGGCACCAGCCTCACCTTCAAAGAGGAAGGTCTCGTTCCAGTGGGGGTTCAGGTTCTTGCGCTTCACCTTGGTCTCCAGCTTGTGCTTCTTGTCCGGCAGCAGGTAGATCTTGACAAAGGGGTCACTGGTGCCACTGAAGTCCTTGGCCGGCAGCTCCTGGGCCTTCATGATCTTCACGGTGAGCGTGGACTCCTGGAAGTTGTAGCCCACGCTGAACTGGATCCGGCCCAGGTTTTCTCGGCTGCAGCCCTCATGGGCCTCCTCCTCCTCGGAGCCTGGGGACAGCTGGGGGTGGGGAAAGGCGGGCAGGGTTGGGGAGGGTTCTGCTTCCCCCCAGGCCCACGTTCACACTCAGGTGAGGATGCTGGGGGGGGGCAGTGCTTGGGGGGGGGACACACAGGGACGGAGGGCAAAGCCTGGACAGCCCTGTCTCCTGCACCCCAGAGCAGAGTGCACCCCCTTCCTGGAAGGCAGGAGTCTGTCCCTGTCCCCACCCCCAGGCCGCCCTGACCTCACAGCTGAGAGGTGGCTGTGCCCTGGGTCCCCAGGACCCCTGGCTCCCCCCTCGAGCTTCCCACGGGCCGCCCAGTTGGAGGCCCGAGTTTCACTGGCAGGAAACCGTGCTACAAGGCACGCGAGGTGGTCAGGGCTTAAGAGAGTGTTTGCTGGGAGGTGGCTCTCTGGGCTTCTGAGGATGGTGTGACTTACAAGAGGACAGAGGCAAATTTGCGGGAGCGACCCGTTTGTATAATCAGGGATCCTAAAATAAACTCCCAGGCCTGCCCTGGGGGAGCCTGATTTGATGGCCTGATGGCACTGGGGTGGGCGCCTGGACCTCGGAATCCTTTAAAGCCCCTCAAGGGGCTGTACTGCTCCCCCCGGCTGAGGCCCACTGGCAGGGAGGGCTGCCCCACCTTCCCACTGGACCCCAGCCACGCAGGCACTCGGGGGGGGGGGAGGTGGGAGGAGAAATGGGGGGATCTCGCAGCCCATGGCCCCACAGTGGCTGAGCGGGAGGCTGTAGCTCCTGGCTCCACCCACCCCTCCACCCAGCCCTCTGGGACCCCCAGGCCCCACCCCAACCCAGGGGGTCCATGCAGCATCTGTATAAAAGCCCCTCAGATGCCTGGCTGGGACCAGGGGTGGGAACTGACACCACGCTGAAGATGAAACTGCTGACACCTGTTTTCGCTCCCCATTTCCCCTTCTGGAACTTTCTCTGCGCTCTGTCTCCTACCTTTTGGGCACTCCGAGGCTCTGAAATACTAGCTAGCACAGACCGTAAGACATGTAGTGTGCACCTACCATGGCAGAAGACGCTCACATCACCTTCTTACTGAATCCTGACAACAGCCGGGCAGTTATCACCACTCTCTAGTGGGGGAGACTGGCTCAGAGAGGTTAAGTCACAGGTCCAAGGTTGCACAGCAGTATGAGCGCTCTGCCTTGAAAGTCCACTCTCCACCAAAGCAAGTCCACACCCCAGGGCAACTCTGAGGCCCCCCCCCCAAGCCGCGAGGACTCCCCTGGCCCAGCCGGGAAGCCTCTACACAGTGTTAACACGCAGCCCAGGTGCCCGCCTGAGCCATGAGCTCTGCCCTCCTCCGCTCTGGCCACCAGCCTCTCCTGGATCAGTAAAGCACCTCACGGTAGGTTTTCCTAGGTCCCTGCTTAGCCCAGGCAGGAACTGGAGGGAGATGGGCATTCCTATTGTCACTTGACATATGAGGAGGCTGAGGCACAGGGAGGCCCTTTTGGTAAAAAAGCTATGGGATGGCCCATCCTCTCCCCGACCCCTCCTGCCTCGGTTGCCCTTCCTGACCAGCCTGACTCCTGAGCCCCAACTTCTGACAGCCATGGGCATCCAGCGGTCAGATGTGCCAGTGACCTAGTGGTGGTCTAGGGCTGGGCAGCTAGACCCAGCACCTCTTAGCATCCACTGAGCAAGGACAGGGTGCTGGGGCCCGGGGGCAGCAAGGGGCTGGAGGCTGGGGGAGGGCCGCCCCCTCGGGACCTGGCTACCATGAGGCGTAGCCGGCCATGAGGCTGTGCGGGAGGCCGGTGCGTGGCGATGCTGGTCCGAAGGACGGACAGCCCAGGCCCGTCCACGAGTGGGGCGGGTGGGTGGTGGCAGAGCAGGTACGCAGGGGTGGGGGCAGGGGGCAGCGCTGGGGAGGCCCGAGGAGACCAGACACTCCCCTCTGCAGGGAGGGCTTGTGGCCTGCAGGCAGGACCATTTAACAGATGCTGGCAATTCTCTGGGGGAGAAGAGGGCAGGGGATGGATGGTTGAAGGGGATGGAGCCCTAAAGAGCAGAAGGGTGGGACCTGGGGGCTGGGGGCAGCCCAGGGACGGTGGGGGCTGTGGTGCTCGGGCAGCACGCAAGGGGACACCGGGCTGAATGTCAGGACCGAGGAAGGGCTACGACCCCCACCGCCAGCCCCTTCCTCTCTAGGGGACGGGGCTCAGGGCCAGGGAGGGGACGTGACTTGTCCCGGGGCCTGGGCACTAGGGCCGCAGCAGGCCAAGGGCCCTGCCTCACACCTTCCTGGGACTCCTCCCTGCAAATGTCCAGGTGCCCAACCGTGTCCTCCCTCTCTGGCCCTGCCCCCCCGGGGGGTGCACTTTAAAGTGCAGGTGTGAATCACTGCTGCTGCATGGGAGCACTAATGAAATCACAAATCTGCCCCGACTACAGGGATCCTGGTGGGGCGGGGTGTGGACAGGAGAGCCCAGTGCCGCTGTCCCTCCCAGAGGTCAGAACTGCTCTCCTGTTGTCTTCGGGCCTCCGCTGGCCCCAGCAACGGGTGGCAAAGGGCCCTAGACGGGACCCCTCGGCTGGGACAGGCTCCTAGGCCTCCCCGGATGGACGCGTCCTGGGGCGCTTCGGCCCCAGCTGTCCACCAGCCTCTCCGGGGTCACAGAGCTACCTCAGAGCGGGCTCCCGAGTGTCCTGCTTGGCCACAGGCACTGAAGGGGGAGGGCGTTCCTACTGTCACTTGACATGAGAAAACTGGGGCTCAGGGCGGCCATCTCGGGGCAGAGCTGGGGCACGGCTGCCGGGTAGCTCTGCTGCCGTCGCCCATCCCACGCGCCCCGCCCCCTGCTCACCATGAGCATCTCGCTGGTGAGGGAGTTGACGAGGTCCGAGACGGAGGAGCGGGGCTCGGTCCGGCGGTCAGACTCATCGTGGGGCGTCTGGCCGGGCACCGGGGCTGTGGTCACCGCCTTCCCTCCTGCGGGTAACCTGGGGGCAGGGAGTCCAGGTGAGCACAGGTCGGCGCGGGCTGGCTGGGCAGCACGTGCCTGGGCAGCAGCAGGCCCTTCTCCGAGACCACGCAGCGGCTACCTTGCCCACGGGGAGGCCTGGAGGGCTCGGGCCCGCCCTCCTTCCAGCAGGCACCGCCGGCCTGGACCCCAGCGTGATCCAGCTTGACTGCCCCCTGGGGGCCGTATTAGCGGGTGACCCCATCCCGCCTGTGCCCCAGAAAGCCTCCTGTCGCCACTCACAGGGTCCCGGGCGCAGCCCCCACCCCAGGCCTCTTCCACCCCTGCCCGCCCGCCCGCTAGCGGGGCGGCTCTGAGGGGCCATGCCAGCCACCTCCTGCCTCTGGGCCCCGGCACACGCGGCCGGGCTCTGGGCCCCTGGGCGCCACTTCTGTTTGCTCGGGTCAGCGAGTACACAGGTGCCCTTCAGACGTGAGACCGACCTGGTGAGGTCAGGGCCACCGTGCAGCTGGACTTTCTACGGTGACAGGAGCGTCCTAGGTCCTGGCGTCCGTGTGTGGTGAATGAGTTTGACTGAAAGCAATTGAGCTGTGAGCAGCCGCCTCTTCACTGGGGGAGCCTCTGCCCCCGCGCCCCTGGGCCCCGCCCTTCCACTGCCGGGGGGCACATCTGACAGGGCTGTCATCCGGGGTCCGAGCGACACGGGGCACCGCCAGGAAGCCCTGGGCCCCACCATTCCACGCCAGGCCCTGTCTGCACCCGATTCCACGCTGTGCCTGGGAGGCCGCGGTCTCGGGCTCCGCACTGGGCGACGCGCCTGGCTCCGTCCAGCTGGAGGCCAGGAAGGGGACACTGAGAACCTGCCCAGGGACCAGGCTGGAACATCCTTGAGGAGGGGTGGGGACAGGCAGCGAGGAAGAGCCGCACAGAGCCGGGCAGACGGCAGCAGGGGCCCGGGCTCGGCGGCCACGGGACGGCGGACGGGACCAGAGCCACAGACGCAGACACCACGCGCGGGACACAAGCTTCCGTGTGGACCGGCTGCCAGCCAGGTCGGCCACCACAGGCAAGACGGGCATGCGTGGAAGGTGCCAGGCCCTGGAGGGGGGGACACCAAGACCCCAGGCCCCGGCACACGCACAGGCACTGGCCGACAGATACTGGGGGGACGGGGAGGGGGTGGCACAGGCAGCAGACAGGTCAACACGTCCAGCAGCACACACACACACACACACACACACACGGGTCCTGCTGGGAGACAGTCGGGGAGACCCAGGCACGGCAAGCTGCCCGCGGTCACGGGGACAGGGACAGGGAGCGGCCTCAGGAACACGAAGCCCTGAGCAGCACAGCGCCTGCTGTGAGAACCCGGCCGGCCGTGGCTGGCTGGACATGGGGGCGCCCCGCCCCGCCCGCCCCGCCCGGGCCATGCGGCACCCCCAGAGGCGCGGCCACAGCAGCGCACGCTCACCACACGCACACGGACACGTACGCACGGACACGTGCTCACGCAGACAGGCACGGGAGGAGGAGGAGACTGAAATAGCTGGAGAGGTAAAGTCAGGTTAAAAATAGAGCGGGAGAGGAGAGCGCGCGAGATTGACTGCTGAAGGTATGAGAAAGTCGGAGTTATTTTGGCCACACCACAGCGCCAGCGCAGCTGCGAAGCAGCCTGGGAAGAGATGGTCAGCGCCACGGAAGCTACCGGCGGTCACAGGACAGAGACAGAGAGAACACTGAGGCGGAGGGGGCGAGGGGCCGGTCGCCGGCCGGGACATCCCTGTGAGGAGCAGATGGGAGGAAGGAGAGGGGGAGAGAGAGGCCAGAGCGGTTAGTTGGAGAGAGCGGAGGAGGCTGCCGGGTGGACGGGGCGAGGAGGGGCGAGGCGGCCGAGGAGAGGCAGAGGCGGGAGACACACCGGGGCGGAAGAAACATGGCGGCTTCGGGCAAGGAGAGCGATGGCCGCACCCCGCGGCGGGGGTGGGGCCGCGGTGGAAACCATTTGGATCCCAAGGAGCAATGGCTGACGAGGATGGGGGAGCATGAGGTGGGAGGCGTGCGGCTGGCATGGGCAGGACAGGCGGGGCCGGGCTCCTCGGCTTCCCGCCCCCAGGGCCAGGAGCATCCTGAAGTTCTGGGGTCCCCAGAGACGGGGGGCTTCTGAGCCACCAGGAATCCAGGAGTGGGCAGCGACCAACTTCCCACCCACGCGGGACCTGGTGGCTCCTGCTCACGAGGGCAACGTCCCCTGCCAGGGCTCCACGTCTCCCCACAAACATCAAGGGGTGTCCACCCCCATCCCGGGGTGACCCTGGGACACCCCTGGGGCCTTAAGTCTGGCAGGTCAGGTGGACACTGCCTGAGCTGACCTCAGGGGTCAGCTGCTCTGGAGGAGGGGGCGCTGGGGCAGAGGGAAGGCCCTGTGTCTAGAGGCAAAAGCTGGATAGGAAGAGACAGCTGGCCCGGCCCACCTGCCCGAGGTCCTAGAGCCTAGCGGGTGACCCCAATGCTGTGCCTGGGGCCTGGGAAACTGGGAACGGACGGCTCAGTTAAGGACCCTCTGGCGGCAGCCTGTCGCTGGGAGCACCCCAATGCCGTGCCTGGGGCCTGGGA